TATCACTATGACAAATATATATACGTTATTTCAAAATAACTATTGTTAAGACATAAAATGAAGTTAAAAATGAAGTATTTTAGAATAGGAGAAACTGAATTCTCATTGAGGGGAGGGGTTGTGATAAAAATAGATAACATTTTTAGAATGATGGTTTTGTTTCAGAGAATCCAGTTTTGACAGATAATGCACCATTTAAATAGTGGCAAAATGATATATCTAAATATGAATTAAATATAAGGTGTTACAGGATGCAAAGGATGACCGAGTTTACCTGATCTGAAATTATATTTTGCAGCTTGCTGTTTAGTTTGATAAAAGAGTGGGTGCTGCTGAGAAAGAGAAGGTTTTTGGAGTTAGAAGATGGATTTTAAAAATCATTATGTTAGATGTGCCATATTGAATATATAGAATGGATACAAATCTAGTTTTTGCCTGAAAACACCTTTGTGGCTCTCAGTAGTATCATTTTATAGATGAGAAATAAAAGATTAACTGTTATCTTATTGTGAGATATTAAAATTTTATCAAGGAGAATATAAAATAAGACAAAAAGAAATGATGGCAGAGGGACATGGTTGCAAATGGTTTTCTTATCTACAGTTATTTTAAAGTTCTAAAGTAGACAAAAGAGTTTATGGTACTGAATACTGTAAGACTGAGTTTGAAATAGAATTAGGTGCAAATGGTAATGTAATTGCTAAAAGGCATAAACTTCTGAAACAGAAGAACAGGTCAAACGATGTATGATGAAGTTGGCTATACTATACAGATAGGAAAAAGGTAAATATATGACTGAAAAGATTGAAATTTGCATTATTATAATCTTTAAAAGATTTTTTTTTACAAAATAATGTACCACTAGAATATATCAGAAGAGAAATTGTCTAGAATTAGGCACTTCAACTACATGTTGGAATTGTGAACAAAAATAAATGTTTTATCATGCTTGGTGCAAGTGTAAAAAAGCTAGAAAATATTGATACATGCATTGATTCAAAGGATATTAAAGATTAATATACAATTGAAAATAAAGATATTTCTTTTGGAACTTTGTTTTTGTATATGTTACTATGTCTTTGTATATGATTGGAGGAACTGAATATGTACAACCTGGAGAACAGAAGGGAAAAGGGGGACATCATTGAAATCTTTAAATATATTACGGATATGAATATGATTCTAAAAGGCAGTATTTTCAATAGTAAGCAAAAATCAAGAACACGGGGACATCACTTCAAACTGATGGGAGGGAAGTTCAAAAGTAATGTTAGAAAGTAATACTTCACAGAAAGAGTAGTGGAAGCTTGGAACCAACTTCCAGCTGAGGTAGTGAGTCAATCATCAGTAACTTTATTTAAGCATGCTTTGAATAAACACATGTCCATCATCTGCCAAAAATAATAAATAAATAAGTCAGACAGACAGACAGACAAAAACAAAAAAACTCAAAGGGAAGACTCAATGGATCAGTAGGTCTTTTCTGCCATCAGTTTTCTATGTTTCTATAATTGCAGCAAGAATATTCTATGCACAAAGATGGAAAGACTCAGCAATAGCTACAACAGAGGAATAGTTAGTGAACATGATGGAAATTGCTGAGATGGCCAAATTGTCTTCTTTGATTACAGAAAAGAAATATATACATTTATCCCTTATGGACCTTTTTTTGGAAAACTTATGATTTATAGTTTTGATCACTAGGCAGAACAGATTATAGAAATGAGAGAGATGTCATAACTTTAGAGAAAAAGGTAAATTTACACTTATAACTGCTGCAAAGATTAGAAGTCACTTCTTTGTATCTTTTTTCTTTTCTATTTTTGTTGTATTTTTTCCCTTTTTTGCACTTCTAATTTTTTATTTGATTTTTTCTTTGTTATTAGTTTGTATTAGTTTTTATCTTTTAAAGAACTTTAAATAAACTTATAAAAAAGAGAAATGCATCCAATCTGTGCATAGTTTCCAGGAATTTTATTTAATCATTGTGCCTACAGCAGGTTTTATGGAAGGATTGGGCAATTAATTTTCCCAAAGGGCCACATGAAAATTTGGGACTGTTGTGGAGGGTTGTCACTGCCCTGCCCCCAATTCTACTGCTACCCTGCCCCCCTGCCAACACTGCGGACCACAAAGAGACAGCCTGCGGGCCAGATTTGGCCTGAGGGCCTTAAAATGCCCAGGTCTGATCTACAGGATTGCTTTACAGACAGTCCCAGCACAGCTGTGCCTTTGTTCAGACTCAGTCATGACATATGTTTGCCAAAGTCTCTTGAGGAACTTGTACAGAGATTGCTAGTCGGGATAGCAGTAACTGCATTTTCATTTGATATTTCTGATATTATGTTTAGGAATTGATACAATGATTGCAAAAGTCTTACCATATAATTTAATGCAAAATAATAAAATTAATTCACTGTGATTTTTATCATCACTGTGATTGTTAATTACACATATTCAGGCCCTCTGTATAATTCAGATTTAGCAGTTCTGCACTGTGAAAATACATCAGGAGTAGTTTCACATGTAGTTTTCTTTACTGAAATTTTTAAAATCTCTTTTTTCGGATTTGATGAAAGCAGCAACTGGATTATATACCATATTTCATATGTTATAGATTATTCTGACTACTTTATCTGCAGTCATATACAGTATATAAGAGTAGAAGCACTGTGTTTTCTTCCCACTGGTTATGCAAATTTATACCTTCTACTTACAGAACTCTTATTTCCTATGCTATACATTATGAAAACTGGCATGCTCTGTATGCACTTGGAGATGCCTTGCTCATGTCCTGGCCCTTTCTTTGCCTGCTGGTCAAAACTTTGAATCCGTCTATTAAAGATACATGAATGTAGTTCCAGTACTTTCAAAAGTACTGGCAAATAGACTAATGCAAGTGTTGAACCAATTGATTCATAGTGATCAATCTGGATTTATAACTGGAAGATATATGAAATATAATATAAGACAAATTATTAGTTTAATTGAATATTTGGATAAGAATAATCAAATTCCTGCTGCTTTTATTTTTTTAGATGCTGAAAAAGCATTTGATCAATTAGATTGGGGGTTTTTGTTTCAAGTTATAGATAGAATGAATTTTTGGGGAAAATTTTTGTCCGCCCTTAAGGCTATTTATCAACAGCAAACAGCACAGATTACAGTTAATGGGGGTGGGTGGGTAACAGAAGCATTTAAAATTGAAAAAGGAACTAGACAAGGATGTCCATTATCCCCATTGTTATTTGTGTTAACAATGGAGATTTTGTTAATTAAAATTCGGGAGTCTTCTATAATAAAAGGAATTAAGGTTAATAAGATTGAGTATAGATTAAGAGCTTTTGCAGATGACCTAGTGTTAACATTAACTCAGCCAATAGATTCGGTAATTGACTTGGTTGAAATTATTGCACAATATGGGAAAGTTTCTGGTTTTAAGATTACCGGTAATTGTAATAAGACTAAAATATTACCGAAAAATATGTCTATGAATGATAAAGATATGTTAGTTACGCTTACAGGTTTTGAAATGGTTAAAAAGGTAAAATATTTGGGAGTTTATATTACAGCCACTAATGCTAAATTGTATAAGAATAATTATGAATCTTTATGGGTTAAGGTGCAAAAGGATTTAAATGACTGGAAA